CTACAAAGAACACACACACACACACAAAAGCCTGCCTGAAAACATAAGAAATGAAACATTGCCCCATTGTAAATGCTTAAGTTAAAAGAACTGTTGCATTGGCCGGGAATCGAACCCGGGCCTCCCGCGTGGCAGGCGAGAATTCTACCACTGAACCACCAATGCTCACATGCCTGGCAAAATCACAGCGTCTCGTGAATATCCACCAGGTGCAGAGGCTACCGGAAGATGGAGAGATGTTGATGGCAAAGGTTCTAACACGGTGTCACAAATGTTTACGTGCAAACGTTCTTGCCTTTCTGAATCTTACAAAGGCACAGCGGAAGGGAAGGATGCTCACAGTTCTGAAGTTCATTGAGCTCAGGCACTATTTTCCCCCCAGATGCAAAGAATAAATCCACAGGAGGAAGTGTAGGATTTCACGGAAATGGGCTGCTCCTACAGGTTGCCAGCTCACTCTCAGTGCAACATTGGGTTTACCAGGCTTTTTCAGCCCCCTGTCCAACTATCTTATCCAGCTCACTACAGGTAGTGACTTATAGCAGACAGCCCTGCTATTATCTTCACCCAGTTGTCCAAGACATTCGGCTTCAGTTCTGAGGATGCGACAACAAGGTTGATCCTTGATCTTTGGCCGTGGTTATTCTGGTACCAAGTACACTTATGAATAGCCCTGTACTTGAACGTGGTCTTTGTTTTGACCGATGACAACCACATGAGTCCAAAAACAAAGCACGAGATGGGATCAGAACAAACAGGCCTGTCACTATCATTATTCCATGTCCCTATTCTCCAAGCCAATCAGTGTCGAGATGCTCCGCCCGTCATCATCACCGTCTTGCTGCCATTGTAAAAAAGCATTTTCAAAAAGGGACAATATTGCAGGTAAGTGTATTTGAATAGTGTGTGTGCTATTACAGACATAAGTCAACAACTACACAGATTCAATGAGAAAACAATGTTTAAATGCTTATAAATGGAGGAGAAAACGTAACTTTGTCTAACACCTCCTACATACTCAATTACTGTTATCGGAATACATTTTACTTTAGAGATGAAGCTTTACAAATGTAGCAGTCATATGTTGTTATCCCTATCACAGGCATTTACTTAAACGTAGTAACTTACATGAAACGACTGCATTTGTTACATACTTACATACGCTTACACTATTCACGCACTCGAGCTCTCTACACCAACTGTGTGAAGTTAGTACAAAGGATTGTATAGTGACTTAGTTAACGTTAGCTTATGATGCTAGGTTGTCTGTCTGCATTAACGTTACCTTGAAAAGCAGTTAGCTAACACTTGTATTAAAATGCCGCAAAATACATCCATGATGCAACATATTTGACGTAGCAATAATTTACAACCCGAACGTAATTAACGATAACCATGCACGCCATGAAACTTGTTTCACTTACACTAGAAGAGGAGCGTGGTCACTACCAGACGCCATTGCTTGGTGACTTTGGACCTGTTGCATCGCCTTTGCAAGTTGCGTTGCTTTAACGTTGGAAGGCTCATGAAGAGGGGAGGGGGAGCTGTGATTGATTGAAATGAGGGTGACATCGGATTGGCTACAGACAGGTCCATGTTGAAAAAAACGCATTTGTGGATCTGCGACCTCAGCTGTGTCTCAAAAAACCCACATGTGTGAAGCTATCCGCAAGTAAATGCAGTGTGATCCGCAGATATAAATCGTAATTTATTGATCTGTGAATTTAAATGTATTTGTAAATCCTTCCGTGTGCATTTGTGAATTGTTCCGTGCGCATTTGTGAATCTTCCGGTTTGTATTTTTGAGTCGCTCTGTGCGCATTTGCGCTTATTGAGACTAATCTGACCCCATAGACAGTTCTGCAGAATGGTCAAGTTGTTTGACATTGCTTCACATATTGCTTAACACGATAAACTTCTTTCCTTGCCTGATGTTGCGTTTGCGGAAAGAATCAAACATTCTTTAAAAAATATGCGCTTCTTGATCAGACCAGTGAGTGCGTGCAGAAATGTGTACGGGCAAATCCATTTTCCTTCACCATCGCAGGTTCAAAAGAAAAAATCCACGCACCCATCGGCCTGCGAAAAAAGGAAGATAAAGTTAGCTTAGGGTGGAGGATGATGACAAGAGAACAACTCGCATTTTTTGCATGGCACTCAAGGCGCTGAAATTTGCCGACCACAAACTGCCAACACTGATGTCAACATAGCAGAGGGTGTGAATTGGATGCTTAAGACAGCAGTCTGTAAAATGGTCATGCTGTGTGACATTGCTTCACATATGGCTTAACAGAGGAGACTACACAGGAATAACAATAAGACTCTGTCTGAGTCGGATTGATGTTTTCTGTGTTATATCATTTTTAAAAATCTAAGAAAACCCTTTCAATTCGTAGACTCCTCCATAATAGCCGTATTACTGCCATTAGATGAAAATTGCATATACAAGAAGCCCCAAATAAGTATATTTATTTTTAACAAAGGTTAAATGTTATTTCAGAAAGTTCAAAAAATGCCCTCAATTTCATATAAAATGCCCTCAATTTCATATAAAATGGTTTTCAGTCAGTTGCACCCTAAATAAATTATAATTATTGCTGTGGCTCGGTTACATTGGTGGCAGCGATTAGTTCTAGTCCACCGAATACGGACTGTAAAGACTATATTACGCTTTGGCGTCTGTGAGTGTGCACTGGGTTGATTTAACTTAGCTGTCTTAGTTTAGCTGGGAGGCTAAATCCATGACACTTCAGAGAGTTAAGCGCCGCCGATGCTGTGCAAAATATGACTTGGAGATGAAGTTTAAGCCCAGCTCAGGGCTTGAGGGCCAGCAGAGATATCCACGTGGACCTGCCTGCTCCATTTTCTGGCGACGGTAGCCAGAGTTTCCCTGGCTAGATGAGACGTTGTTACAGTAGTATTTTTAAAAACACATCTATAATAATAAAATCACTGCAGGGTTCCCAAGCCTCACGCATTGAACATGAGACGCGCACCTTACAACTAGTTCACACGCCACACATTGAAAAGGAAAGCCAACCAAGTTTTCGACAGGGTAAAATCTCCATCATAGATGACCATAATAAAAATTGATTTCGCCCAACGTGGGGCTCGAACCCACGACCCTGAGATTAAGAGTCTCATGCTCTACCGACTGAGCTAGCCGGGCATGGATGTGAATGTATTGTCTTCATATTTAATTGCAGAGATGTTGCAGGAACATACTTGATATGCATCGTTGAACGCTGCTTTTGAAGTGGTTTCTTAATTTTTTTCAGAGCTCTAAGTAGTTGCACTACCAGGAATAAAGCAGCAAAATCAGTAGTAGAAATATGTAGTAGTGGTAGCCGAAATTACTACAGTAATGAATTTTGGACAGGATGAAATTTCCAATTCGATAAAACATAAACATAATAGAAGTAATTGCAGTAGTTAAAAACCATAAAATGGTAAAGGTAGTAACAGTTGTAGCATCAGCTAGTAACAGTTGTAGCATCAGCAATCAACCAATGAATTGATATATTATTCTACAAATATAACATTGTAATTGGCACTCATAAACTTCTTCATAAGCTTAATCAGCATAACATGATTTAAGGTTATACCAGCAAAAGTGATGCCCCGTGTGAGGCTCGAACTCACGACCTTCAGATTATGAGACTGACGCGCTGCCTACTGCGCCAACGAGGCTACGTCTACATCCTCTCCGGAACTCATTAAATAGAGGCTCAGATAACAAACACTGAGAATTTCAAATAAATGCGGAACAGATATGTCCACATATCAAAAACTCATCACGTTACTTCAAGCGACTATTAGCTGTAGTAACTCTGATCTTCCGCTAGAGGGCGCTCCACTGTTGAGCCTCCCGTCCTTCCATTAAGACGTTATGTTATGTAAATCCAAACATCCAACAATGGATGTGTAACCAAAATGAAATAAGAGACTGTGAATAAAGCGAGCATAACATGTGGCTGAGGTATTTATCTCCGTTAAATCGTGTGCGAAGGCCTGATGTCAATAACTAACGTTAAGTTATTACTTTTTAATACTTTAGTTAACATCAGCAGCTCACATTAGCGGTCACTGAGTTGAAGCATTGTTCACCAGTTTATTTCAGTCCCGCCCCATAAGCTGTTTAACAAGGAAGAAAAGCAGCTCACGTAATGTGACTTATTGTTACTAACGTTAATTAACATGATAAAACGGGAACTAGCGTTAGCTTCAAGCAAGCTTGCTAGCCCAGGCCGATGCTACCCGCTCTCCGTAAACTCGTGTGTGAAGAATAGGAATGATGTTAATAAATAAGTTATTCCTTTTGGGTAGTTATTTAACAGCTCAATTAGTGGCCAGTTAGTTCAAGCATCGTTCACCAGTTAATTTCAGTAACGGCCCATTAGTTGTCGGACAAGCAAAAATACAAATAAAAAAAAACTTAACACGTTAATTAGCCTTAGCTATAGCAAGCTGCGAGCCTACAGCGATGCAACGTTGGCTTTTAGCCATGCTGCTACCCGTTCGTGAATATGTATATAGACTTAACGTGAAATGCTTATTTTACAAGTAACACATTGACATTGTGTCTTCAGTAACTTACCCCAAGGCCAACACAAAACAAAAGAATCCACCATTAATCCAGTTTTCCACCAAAAATCCAGCGCAAAATACGTCCAATTTGGGCCGTTAATCTTCTTTCTTTCTCACGACAAAAACAAACAACACATAAACTGTTGAAAACTGTTTTGACAATATTCATTAAAGTAGGCAGTAATAACGTCGAAGTGACCGTGTAAGGCCCTGGGGACACGGACTCGCCTTCAATTAACCAGCATCCAATGGGCGGAACGCGGTGGCGGGGTCACGTGTTGGGCAGGTGTGCGCGCCACACTATGATGGAAAATTACCAAGAGTCGAGCTTCGTCAAGACCTACGGGCTAAAACGACGTCACGTGTGAGTTGCTCATGTGAGGGCGTGTAAACCAAGAATGACATCAGAAATGTACCAACTGTGATGCATATTTAATAATTTAATTTCAGCATGCAGAAATCAGGTAGAAAAAAACTTTACAGCAATGATAGTAAAAAGAACAACAAAAAGAAACAAACAACGTGAATCAATGAAGCACTGGAGGCTCACATGTTATCGTTGGTTTAGGCTTAGGGTTGATAGCTAGTACAACTTGTCCAAATAAAAAAAATAAAAACTAATCAGGATTTGTTAGAAAAATAGTAATGTTACACCCAGCAGTTGGTTTTTAAAACCCCGATGAAGTTAACTGGGAGCAGGAAGTCATTCAGTGTCCCCCCGACATAAATGGGGGTAGAAATGAATAAAACAAGGGTTTAGTGTGTTAGTATAGGTGTGTGTGTGGGGGGGACATACACCCCTCTTCAAATGGCCCTAGTTAGAAAGTTGTGGCGATTAAACTCCTTCATACAAGAGATGTCATTTAAGTTACTGCTTTCATCATCAACGTCACAATTTCAGTTTGATCGTCTTTTATGGCCTCATCATGAAACATGGATACAGAGAAATTAATAGTTTTTTTATATTCATCTTTTTTGCCCATCATTTTTTTAATTTCAGATAATCTCTTAACCTACTCAGGCCAACAAAGTCAAATGATTATTTCAATCTGCTTAAATCGAGTGCAGGAGAGCGTTCAAGAATTTAAATTCTTATTTCAACAACCAACAAAAATCTACTTAATGACAGAACTGCTTTAAAAAAATGACAATCCATAGCAAAGTCCAAACATAAAAACCCTTTCACAAATATAGTTTCAAGTCAGTTACGATGAGTTCAAAGCCCCGACGGAGAAGAAGAACAGGCTGCAGGTCAGAAGGAAAATGTTCCCAAAGCTTCCCTTTAAGTGGCGAACAAAGTCTAACCGTTTACTATACAGCCCCCTCAGTTGTCATGTAATTACACAGCAACAACCCTTAAACCGCTTATCATACGTCTGTGTTAGCAACTAAAACCTGCTTAGTGTAAAGTGACTGTATAATTATGTTTCAGTCTGTGGAACAGAAGAGGAAGCTGTTAAGTAAAAAGTTTAAAAAGACAAATAGGTCCAATGTCACTTTAGTTCCATGCAGAGGAATCAGAGCTGTTTTCTTTTTCTAATCATTCATTCATCCAGCTGTCAGTGCTTCTTCTTCTTCTTCCTGAAGGAGGATTAAATGCAAACAAAATTAATTTAAAAAAATTCCACTAAAACCTATTGGTGACCACGAGGTGGCACTTGTTCGTGAGATTGTGGCTCATTAGTTTTCGGGCCCGAATGCAATACGAACATTGCAAACAAAAGCTTCTTAAAAGTAAGTCTGCGGGAAAAACAAAACCAAAAACTGAAGGCATCAAATTAAGAAAGATATTAACACAGAACGCTTCCCCCACACGGACACCGTGGCGTTCAATTCATTTCTCCCAACAACGGGGAACATATTTGTCCCTGGATCATCATCGCAGATATTTGCTCATTTCTAATCGAGTGAAGCTGGAAAATCGTCCTTAATTTACAATTTAACTTAAACGATGTGGGGAAACACTACATTCTTCGTTCTACTTCTTCCCCCTTTTTAAACTGGTTTCCTTCGTTGCAAACAGTCCCTTCCTTCATTGTTCCCTCCTTCCTTGTTTTCCTCTCGAGCGACACGCACCTTCCACGTTTCATTTTCTTGGAAAAAGTCCCATTTTTTTTTCTCCATCCTTTCACACCAGCGCTTTCGCCTCCGGTCCGCTCAGAAAAGCACATCTTCGTTTTTAATGAGCGTTTCCACCACAAGTCTCTGGTATCGGATGTCGTTGAGCGCCGTCATGGCGTCCAGCCCGGGGGCCCTCATCAGGGTCGGGCCGAAGACGATTCCCAGGTTCTCGCTGGACATGAGGTTCTCCTTCTCGTACTCGGTCACCCTGGAATCAGAGACGGAAGGACAATGTGAGCGAGTGAGCCGAGAAGATGGCCGCAAAACTAGAAGTCGGGACTCGTGGGCTCTGACCTCTTGAGGTGAGCCATGAGGTATCGCAGCGTCTCGCAGTGGGCCGGCGGCAGCAGCTTTAAGGCCTCGTGCAGAGACTCCAGTCGCTTCTCGGCGTCTGCGATCTCTGGCAACACACCAAACACAACAATTCATTTTAAAATGCAAACAAATCCGTGTCCTTTCCTGATTTCAACAGTACAGAACAGGACGCCTCAAATGCTCGTCCTCTCATTCTGGGTTCCTAAGTACATAAGACACATAAAGCACACACGGAGACTTACTTCCTGTTTCGATGAAGTGCGGGTAGGCGTCGTACGTGATGAGCGGAATAGGCAGCTCCCTGAAGTAGAGCTTGAGGGCTCCGGCAATGATGTTGAGGTCCTCGTAAGCATTTGAGGAAATGTCCGCCTTCTCTCCATCTGTGGGGCAGATCCATCAGCCAAACAAGTGAGCCAACGTGGTCACCAAGTGAAACACCAGCCCTCAGTCGGAAGAGGAAACAGTCACCTCTGTCAAACGCCAGCTTGACGTCTTCAATCAGCTCACTGAAGCCAGATATCCTGTACAAGCCCTCCGACTGCAGACCTGCGACACACAGACATTCATTTGATGTATTAGGACCGGAAAATGTCAACGACTGCCTTTGGGTTTCAGACAGCTGCTTTGTCAAAAATAGAAGTTTAAAGACACCTTTAATCGGAATAATAAAACATGATAATAAATAATTGTGTCACAGAGTTCAAACGGGTGGATTAAGTGCTGATACACAACAACGTGCTTGTGACGGCGCTTTCTCTCCTGACGTGCCAACAGAAACACACACGCACACACACACACACACACACACACAGACGAGAGGGAGGATTGATGAGGGATTCAAACAGAGACAACAGGGAATGAGAAGTAAATTGCTCTCTTGCACCCGTCAAGTCCAATCACTTCAACCCAGGCGTCTTTATTGATTTCACGCATTAGTTTCACTCAGGCCCTGAAAGGTAGTCAATAAAATCCCATCCCAGATCCCATAAAGGAGGTGGGAGACCGACTCCGGCACGCGGGAGTCACACACATGCCGGCCCCGTGGGGGTTCCCCCCCTCCTGGAATCGCAGCGAAGCGCCAGAATCCTCTCACCCCGAGCCTCGATCTCCTGTATGCACATGTCCACCACCATGGGCCGCTTGGTGTTGTGGGCCTTCACCAGCGTGGTCAGGTCGCAGCTGTACACCTTCTTCACGTGCCGCAGGTCCGGCTGGCAGTCGTTGGGCACGACTTTGGAGCACTGCTTGTGGACGTTTAACCCGCAGTCTGACAGAGAAAGGCGGAACAGCAGAAGGGGAGTCAGCACCACTGCCGGACAGTTGCACTCTTGGCTCTGCTCAAGAGCCGAGGAGTCACCGGCGATGGTGAGTAACTTCAAGCCGCGTTGGAGCACAGCGGAGGAGGCACAAAGGAGCACATGCAGAATCGTATTTTTGTTTGTGGGTGTTACCTGCACACTTGACTCCCTGAGCGATGAGACCCCACATGAAGTTAGCGCAGTACTCACACCAGTGGGGGCCTCTGAATGTATGAACCTGGTTAAAAGAGATACAGCAGGGATACAGAGAGAAATGACTTAAATTAACAACATTTTAAATTTTAATTTAATTTTAATTAAATTTTTTTTAATTATTTTTAAAAATAGTAGCATTTGCCAATATTAAATGGGTATACTGGCACAGGTTATAACCCACAATAACAGACGTAATCATATAATATAATAATTACATGTTTTAATACAAAGAGAGCGATGAGCTTTAGTCTTTTCTTTGCATGGATTAATTCTATATAATGAAATGCTAAAAACCTCCATCACATCACAGTGCCGCTGCTGTGTGTGTGTGCGTTCGCGCTCACGGTTCATATTTCCCTTAAGCTCAGCACAATGTGGCTCTGACCTCTGTGCTCCTCACTACTGGCTGCTGGTAAAGTGGACAACTGGGAATATAAAGCGCTTACGAAGCTTCAAACCACAACAGTAGATGTGTGTGTGTGTGTTCTATGTATTCTAATGCATTCTTTGCTCTCTGATGTGAATTTGAATAAGACCCCATGAGCTGAATCAGCAACTCTTGCGGCGCACACGCTAGCTGGACTCGGTGGAGGAGCGAAGGAGCGGCTCACCTTGAAGTTGTGGACCTTCTCGTACTTGGGCGCCAAGTCGCTCTCCCTCAGGGTGGCCCGCCGCACCAGCGCCGTGAGCTGCGAAAGGGCAAAAGACCTGATTGGTTGCCAGAAAGTGGAAGCGGGAGAGGTGGGTTTGGAGGGGGCCGGGTGGACGCGGGCCCCTGAGCCCCCGCCGGGGTTCGTGGGGCCGCCGGGGACCGGCAGTGAAGGAACCGGAGCGGCGGCGACATTCAAACTGAGAGCTGCAGTCAACAAAGAGCCCTTCTGACCCGCCGGCTTCTCGGCCCGCCTGCGCGGCGGCTTTTTACCCCTTTTCACCACATGCGACTCTCTGCTCGGCATTGTGGGAATTGTAAATTTGGTGTGAATTTCACTCACACTAGACACAAAAACTCAAAAACAGTGAGACAGTCACAGTGCCAAGAAATATGAAAGCTCCCAAAGGCAGAAAATCCGAGGAAAAATGACCAAAAACAGAGAGGAAATGACCCGCTAGAGTCTCAAATCATTTCAGAAGCCTCATCCGACGACAACGTCCCAAAGCGAGGAGCCGATACAGACCGGCCCTGCTCTTTTACCAGTGCACAGATCAGCCAACCAGATTAGCTCTGCACACGGATGCGGCTGCTCGGTGCAATTCCAGTTCATAACAAAGGCCAATGAATGAAAAAAAAAAAAAAGTCACCGAAATAAATATTGTGAAAAAGTTCTCTTAATTTGTTTCAATAAATCTTCCTCAAAATGTGCTCCCAAAATCCTTCAAACGGGACGGATGCTGCAGAATGTGCATTCCCGTTGCAGCCTGGTGGAGGTGAGTGCTTCAGCCCACATGGCTCAGTGTGTGTGTGTCTGTGTGTGTGCGTTAATCCTCTTTCCCTCCACACACACACACACACAGTAGCGGAGGGGGAGGGCTGAGCTACGGTGCAGCGATGGATAAATTTAACAGGTCACAGTGAGAGGAGAACGAGCCAATCACAGCGCAGAGATCCTTGTTGTTCGTCTCCTGTTTCCACCGGGAAAGGGACAGCGAGGCAGGAGGAGAACGAGCGGAGAAACGAGCTGTTGTTTTCTTCACTCTTCTTTTGTCATTTCACCAGATCTGCTTTCTGCCCAACGAGAGCACTTACGCTCACGTCGTTGGACGCCCCCCCCCCCGGACGGATCTACAAGCTTCCAGCAGTTTGCATTATCAGATTATCTTGTGCCAAAGTATACAATTGCGTTATAACACATTACGTTGGATTTTTAACACAAAATTGACCGAGTGAATATGTGTGACTGGTCACGGGTATTTAATGACAGGGTGGCGGGTAGCAGCGTGGATAACAATGCCCAGACTATGGACAGAAAGACAAAAGCAGCTAGTTATCCTCAGAAAGGTCATTTAAGCTCCTAAAATGTCAGAATTCTGAATGTCAGAAAATTAGATCCGAGGTATCGCGATTGGATATTTGCCTTCCAACTCCTCAAAGTAATGCCTAATCCTACAAAAAATGTAAATGGGAAAAATAATCAGCATAACCACGCCTTTATGGAAACAGCACCTAACCTGCGATGAAAGGTGGTAAGCTTTGTGGAATGAGCATTTTGTCTTCCATACAGAGAGCCACCTCGGGTCTCAATGTCACAGCCGTACCGCTTTGTCTGCAAATCCAGCCCATTACCAAAGCACACACGTGCACGCACACACGCACACAAGGACAGTGATGTACGAGGAGCGGTGCAGGTGGTCACGCACTGCAGGTCACACAAGGCTTCCGGAGGTTCAGTGCTGGCGTAGCGGATACACACACACACACATTACTTTGTGCCTTGTTGTCACACACACGCATCCACAGAAATCACGTTTACACAAAGTGTGATTGGCAGCAGAGTCAGAAAGTAACCCTCTCAAATGCTGCAAAAGCTCCATCTGTTTAAATAAAAGTTTCCTTGTTGGTCCTCTGGGTCAAAAAAACAATCCCATAAAACAACTATCAACAAACTTTACTGCTTAATACTTTTGGGAGACAGCGGGTTTCTGCAGGCAAACTGTTGTTATGCAGTTTATCTGCAGAGCCTTTGGCTGGAGGGATTCTTCCTCCTCCCCTTCCTCCCCCTCTATCCTAGCTCTCTAGAGAAACTTTTCTCACATTTAGTTCAACTTTCTCCAGAGTTTCCCAACATTAGCAACTGTTTGGTTATTACCGATAATTACTGATTACTTGAAACAGAAAATGACAACATTTCAGGTTCACGTCTTTTCGATTCAGCAGCAACATTTTCAGACCTCAATGTGTTTCTAATAGTCTTCTACAACATGCAACGACAACTTGAAAATATTGATATTGAATGTACAAGAAACTGGGGCCGATTTGAACAAGGCTTTTGGGAACTTGCCAAACTTTAAGGGGACAAAGCGCCTCATGGTTCATCCTCTGACACTGTGCACGTGCGCTTGTGCTCACCCTCTCCTCGGCCTGGCGGTCGTCTTTGGGCGGGACGGGGCCATCCGGGGCGTCGGGGCTTTGTGGCAGGTGTTTTTTCAGAGTGGGCTCCTGGTTCAGCGTAGTGTAGCCAACGTGTTCGTAGATGGGGTTTATGGTCATCTTAGCGATGTACTCCGCTGCCTGACAGAAGAGAAGGTTAATGTCAACACGGAAGTCGCAGGTTTGGGGTTTTGCCGCCAAATCTTCCAAAACACATTCCGGATTTTACAGAATACACAAAGAAACACTTAAGGGTAAAGAAAATGCGGATGTTCCTTTTTTAAATGAAGAGCCCAGGGATGATCCAGTGGCCGAGCGGAGGAGGCAGGTAATGATGCGTGTGTAAAGCTGAAGGTTACGTAAACATCGGCTCACAGCTCAGATTCTTGCATTCTGTAAACATCCATAATCAGCATTTACATTCACTGATCGCAGCCGTGGTGTTTTGGGTTCTCAGAGCAGATGTTTTTGTGTTAGCAGAGTGCTCATGGGGGTGGGGAGGGGGGCCACACACCTTGGTCTCGATGTAGAGCGTGATGAGGCCGTCGGTGACCAGGTCGTGGATGGACTCGAACCTCTTTTCTCCAACAAAGTGCTTCCCGTCGTGGTAGAGACGGAAGTTTCTCGTCTGGTTCCCGAACCTGGACGGAACGGAGGAGGACACTTTGGCTTCAGGCCGTGCAGGGGTGAAAGGAGGATAACATGAATGTCGTTTGAGCGTCTGGGTTGTCACTTGGAAGCTTTAAATACTAGTTAACTATTTTCAATAGAAGATTAAGAATAGAAGCGGTTCACTCGCTCACTACTGCCCCCCTTTTACAAGAAAATACACAGTCAAGAAATGGCACAATAACTGACAGGCAGACACTGAACTGGGCCAACGCGTCATCTGCCCCTCAGCAGATCAAAATCGAACCACCGCGAGATGAAACTGCACCGTGAGATCATTAACCCAAAACCCAACCTTTCCATTTCCGCCGGGCCAGAGTGGGACGCTGGCTTATGAAGGGGTATTTATGGACGGTAATTGGAACCACGGCCATGGGAGAGGCAGGGAAAAGGGAAAGAACCGTGTGCAGGTGGATATGAATAGAGCACGCTGACCCAAAAGCGCGTTCTAATTGTGCCGTGCGCCCAATTCAAACTGTGACTCCAACTCAAAGGAAACGACAGCTAACATTCAAGTCAAAGCGACTGCTGATCGGGCCGCTGTCAGTTTGGCTTTCACGGTTTGGGTTTGACCTTAAAGATCTTCTGGCCCTCGCAGCTTGTTTTCTCTCGTCTGCATCTACCTTAGAGCCAGCGTGTAGGTGCCCGGCTGTCTCTGACTCTCTCTGATGAGGTAGCTGCCTTCGGCCTGACTCAGCCACTGGTCGGCATCTTCTCTGGAGATCATCCCATGGTACCTGGACGTGAGGAGGAGCTTTTAGGTGAAGATTTCCTCCAGAGAACAGGCTTTTCAGCATGAGGAGATGGAGAGGAGTCGAGGGGACGTGCCTCACATCAATCGCTTACGAAGACAACGATAACTTACTCTCTTCCATAGTATTTGGGCCGGTTGTCCACCTGCAGGGGCAAAAGGAATATGTACAGAGGATGAAACAACTACAGCCGAAATGTTCACGGGGTCGGCATTGCATCATATTACAACATATTACATACAACAGCAAAAACACAGGGTGTGAAATGCCACCGTTAGCGTGTGTGTGTGTGTAGCGCACACACACACACGGCTCTTCCTGAGTGCGTGGGCACAGAGAATTCTGCACGAGTCGGATAAAAAGCAGAACATAGTGTTGCTCTCAAACTGCTGTGGAGCCAATAAATCAACAAATGTCCAACAAGCAGAGCTGAATATTAATATGGATGCTCTCTGTGTGTGTGTGTGTGTGTGTTTGAGGTGCACCTTGATATGGGTGTGAATACATTTTGTGCATACGGCAAACACCATCGTTCCACATACATAAATCAAGGTGGTAAAAGTCAAAATGAGCCGTTCCCTCATTCCACCCGTCTATGAGTAACAAAACGCTGCCTTTACGTTTCTGAACTTCCTGAATTATCCAGTGGAACACAATATATATTTATTACTCCTGTTTTTTTTAGCTATGGCTTTGATGAAACTGTATAATAATAATGTAAGACGAGGTCCTAAAGGACAGTCTCCCCTTCGTTTAAGTCACCCTGACATGCCACAAATTAATAAGTACCTGCCTTAGATACGTGCTTATTGGGGCAGCAGTAAATCACATAGGGCTCAAAACAAAGCTGCCGGTCGTAAAGGGGGGTGGGTTGGATTTTAAACGGGTCAGCACAAACTACCTGACCAGGCCAGGGCATCAAAGCCAACAGCTGTTCATTTAGCACAAACACACACACCACCATCCATCCAGCATGCCCTAAAAAGACTTTTCAGATTAACACAAACACCAGACGCACAATCCCCCATTATTTAATCCCCCTTGGATTCCCACGGACCGTGGTGCCCCCGCCGCTAACACATCTGTTGGCGAACACGCTGGTTTCCCTCCAATAGCACTCCCTCTAATAACAGCTTGCTTGAGGCTTAGACCACAGCATCATTGTTTCAGTTGGTAATCGAAAGTGATGCTGGAGAACAAACAACATTTGATAATCTTGATACAAGCCAATGGCAGATCAAGCTGAGCTTCTTTGGGTCTTCATTCAAATCACTGAACAATGGGTGAAAGACAGACGCGGCGTTTGGCTGTCTGGCAGAGGAGGCATGTGCTCACCTCACAGGTGCAGGTGAGTCTGCGTGGGTGAGGCGCCTCCTGCTGGAGCTGGTACACTGTGGCAGAAAAAAAACAGAAAAGCATCAGCATGTAAGAAACAATCGTGAAGTTTAAGAAAAATGACAAATGATTATAACAGCACGCTGAGTGATCCATAAATACTCACAGTAAGACTTCCACACGGGTGGCCTGTATTCATCATGATCTGAGGACAGAGAGAAGAGCAGGTCTCCAACAGTTACTCTTTATTTCTTTAGCTCCAGCGCCCCCAGGGGGACAGAGCGTGGTACCGTGTTGATCGGCCTCATTTCTCAACGTTGATACGAACCCTCATTCAGGTTAATCCTTTTTACTTCAGGTGCTGGGTAAGAACGCCAGACTCAGACTTTTATACAGCTTAAAACTAAAACTTTGCGGCTTTGGTAACGCCATCGCCAAATGAATATGGTGAAAAAAATAAGTGAAAGTACTTCACTGAGCATAAACTGTGACTAAGTGACTTGCAACGTGAGACGCTCAGAAGAACACAAGATCTTTCCCCTTTCTCTCCAGTGGCGTTTGGCTGATGTACTCGTTCAGTCAGCTCATTTGTGTCAATTCTCATTTACAAACACATCAAAATGCAACGTAGTGCGACAAGTAAAATCAAAGCGTGACACGGTATCGACTGTTAAATCCTCTGTTGTAGTTTCTGTATGAAAACATGTGCTTATTTCTTTAAAAGCTTAATTTTGATGAGACAAAAATGCACAATATGCAGCGGCCAGTCTCTCTTGTTATGCAGGCACATCTTCCATCTTCTCTGCAGGAGTAAAACCAACGGCCTGTTTCCTGTTCTCTCCGCGGGCCTTATCTGTGCAACACTTGTCGTCCCCGTATCCTGTCTTCAAAATAACTCCAGGTCCTCCCTGACCAAGTGTCTCCCCCTCTTTCTCAAGGCAACAGAAGCTCACAGCGAGACACAGCAAAGACAAAACACACGGCCTGCTGACGAATCGCAGTGTGAAGCAGGATACAACTCTGGGTAAATAAATGGCAGTGCTTTGACCCGAGCGCTGCAAGGACAATTGAGATGCGTAAATCGGCTGCAATGTTTTGACAACCGATTAAAATTTCATATTAAAGTTTACCAAAAGCATAAAATACAAAGCTATACGTCAGTACTATTCAACAGAAAATGAATTTTAGACACTGCACAGCTTAAAATACACCATTTTTAACAGTTAGTAAAGTTCCTACTCAAGTACTGGTAGACTTGCGTTGAAGCAAAGCTGATTTAACTGCGTTATTCACTGTTCATAGTTTCGATAAAAATGCATCATAATTTCTAAGATGACCGTGTGGTTGGTTTATAAAACCATAGCCTGCAAAGTTACCAGTAAAATACAACTGTGACATAAACGAAGCAGAGGAGGATGTTATTGATTTGAGGTTGAGTGGTGAAGAACTTTATAATTAAGGTAATTCAAAATGATTGTGGACAGTACCTACCAGTCGTATTATAAAAACATAACACACATACAAACAAACTGGTGTGTGATGCTGCTTACCAAACACATTCAGAGCCATCTCGATTCTGGGATTTCAATATTACAATGATCGATTAACCAGTGGATCCAAATTTCCAGCAAAACGAACCACTCTCAGTTAAAATCCTGAAAAAGAGAAGATGTTTAGGGTAAATGAGCTCAAGGCATTCTCCCACTGACCGAGGTCAACCACCGTGGCTAAAGTGAAAGCCGCTGAATAACGATGAACAATAACCGGTGAGCTAACGTTAGCGGGTTCGGTAACGTTATTTCAGATGGGAGCTGAACCGATCATCAAACGGAACCAACGGATGCATCTTTTTACCAAACCGTAAATGTAAACAAAGACGTTGTAATACACTGAACGTGCACCAACGACAGTCTTCAAACATTGTGAATTGAAACACTAGTTGATAAACAGTTAGCTAATAATACGGCGTACTCACATTCAAATCCATTCTGCATTGTGGTCGCCATCTTACTGGGTCACGTGGGCAGTCTCGCCCTCTCTCAAATGTAACTATGGTAACGGTCCTTTCCGATGTTAACGTTAGCTGTTAGCAAGAGTTGTTGTTGGTTGTCGTTGGAGGCAACGTTAGGCTTCACTAAAAGGGAATAAACCAAACCTTCAGGGCAGCTGGCGAACGCGATACCTCGCTTATCTGCCTTCTTTGTTAGGGTAAGGTTTAAACTCAGACTAGGGTTTTTAAACTCATTGTATCCCTAGTCAACTCATGGCCGGTTAGCTCAGTTGGTTAGAGCGTGGTGCTAATAACGCCAAGGTCGCGGGTTCGATACCCGTACTGGCCATTACTTTTCTCTTGTTTCATTCAGGGTTTCTGAAGCGCCTTATGCCACGAAATAATAAAAATCAGGAATGAGAAAGAAATTTACATTTTCCCTTACCATTAGAACATCGCTAGAAATGTTAATTATGCCTTATTCCACCTCTTTAGCCGGGCCCACAATTAACTAATCACGTTCATGTTGTCCGTGGTTCATCGTCACATCGACTACTTTTCTATAAATGCAGCAATACCGACCTTCCAAAATCCATTTTAGGTCCTACAACGTCATTTTAAATTCATATGAACAATCATTTTATTGTTACTTATATGTTCAGTATGATGGAATTTTACAGTTAGTATAGTAGATGTATAGCATCTTATATATTTCATATATTTTTATATATTAGAACCTTAAACTTTAAATCTATAACAATCTAACATATTCTATAAAGTAATTGTTTTGACCAATCTGAACCTACTTAAATTGAAACATTTAAAAAAACAGCAGAATGAGGAAAATGTTTCCCTCTGGGGTAGAGTGGTTCAGAAGTTAATACTTGAGCTGTAAACTTGCAAATTGAACATGCCATTTTTCTTGCATCATGTTATTTGTCTTGTTGTCTCACATTCAAATCCATTCTATGTCTGACTTTCAGCATGATAAAACTGAAAGTCCACATTTATCTGAGGATTTTAAACGCGACTGCGCTCCTCCCCCCGGAGGACCGCGCGGGGGCGCTGTTCAGCCGCCCGGGTCGGACTTTCTCTCTTCCTGCCGATGCACGATTGCTCTTCATTGTTCCAGTGGGGGGAAAAAAAGGAAAAAAAAAAAAAGAAGCTCCACGCAGCTCCGGGTTTTCCCACAATCGCTTCGATGGCCACCGCACCGAAACCACGTCCCACCTGAGAGGGAGCGGATTCACCGGAGTGCAGGAGTCACGGCACCGAGCGGGATTTACCGTCCGCGTTGGGGAAGTTAAAAAAAAAAGAAGCAGAAGAAGAAGAAGAAGGTCCGGCTGACGGTGAACCTGCGGACCGCGAGGAAAGAGGGGGTGAGGAAATAGTCGTGCTGCTCCGGATTATGTAGCGAGGTGACACAGTTAGTTTCCTCGCGTACGTGCCCGTGGTTGGATTTAGATTCAGCCCACATTTGGTTGCGGAAGTCCCTCCCCAACTGTTTTTAGGCAACAGCGCGTGATGTTTGATGAGCCCGATGTTTGAAGCGTAAACTCTCTTCCATCGCAGCCGGTTCCTAATCGGCTGAGCTTTAGGAGGTCCAGCACCCCCCCCCCCCCTCTATAAGCTTAATTACAGACAAGGATCTCCAATAAGTGCTTCAAACGTGTACACGTCACGCAAAGATAATACATATGTATCCATATTTGATCTGACATGTGCTTTGAGTGTTGTTTCACATCTATTTCTATGTATTTCCCTCCCCAGCTCGTCTCCTCAGTCTGTCCCTGCAGACCTTGCATGCACATTAATATCAACAACACAGCAGCCCTGTGAGTGTGCTCCGGTTGCTTTAGCCCGCTGACTTCTTTACTCTGGCCTAAAGGATTACTCTGCTAACCTACATCCTGGAGCGAGCACTCTGCCAACTGCACTCTGATGTGCATGCATTATATATATATACATATATATATATTTTTTTTTTCATGGGTGTGCTTGTTTTATTCCACTGGACGAAGCTGCTGCAGAATCCTTCTGGAGAATGCATGCAATTACTCTTTTGTTTTGCCCCCCCCTCCCTATTTGGTGAGAGGTCAGAGCACAGGGGTCAGCGGGGAGGCGGCACCCGGGATCAGCTTTGTTCTGATGGTTGCCGCCCCGCTGCCAATTCACTTTTACAATCAATATCACACCTGTAAGGCCAGGAGAGCTGGTGTTGTGATTCCTATGTGTCTCACACACACACACACACACACACACACACAGTCACGTTGGAGAGCAGTAGCTTAATGGCTGCATCACTTTGATAAAACGTGGTATCAAGCCTATCGATCTGTGCAGTGTGTCGCGCTGCGGCCTTGAGCTCGTCAGCTTGTCGTTCCGCCGCAGGTTGTCCTTTCTCAGTTTGAGGCGACTCAGTTGGCAGCTGTTTATTGGATGTTGCATTGTTATTGTATTGCTCATCGCTGCGATTTTCCACCCCTGATAATGTTTTTCTTCTCTGAGCGTTGAAATAAATTCCTTGTGTGCATATTTTGTGAATATCTCGAGGCTTACAGGAGAGTAGCCCATGTTGTTGACATGCTCCTCTTAACATTAGCAATTCTGGCAGATTTATCTCAAGTTGTTATGAAAACCCACTTATCAGAGGGTTGATTGTCAAGCCTGTCAAAGATGAAAAATGTGTCCTATTACACAACCGCGGGAAAATATTATGCCCGGCGGTTTATGCAACGGTTCATTTTCACCAACCATACAGTCGACTGAGCTAACTGCAGATTACGTAAAGATGAAGCTTTCTCACATCCGATTCCCAAAGCCCGGCTTCCCTCCCGCTAACTCTTGGGAAACTTTCCTCTAAGGCCAGTTCAAAGGCTGCCCCCCCCCCCCACCCTCCGAGCTGGAAGCTCCCACAGTGGCTTCCTTTGTGCCCGTGTGACCAGCTCACTCCGCGTTCCCTCCCGAGCCAAAGCCCACGCTCGATGCCCCCGGCCCCCTCGCCGAGGAGACGGTGGAACGTCAGCTGTGAAACGGAGATAAACGAACAGATCGTGTTGAGTCGTCCTCGACCTCTTCAATCCATCCAGTCAACATTTATGGCCCCCCCCCCCCCCCTCCCCGCGGTGAGCTTAGAGGCTCTTGTAAGGCCTTGAGTGACCTCTGTGGAAGCCGTGCAGGCGACAATCCATCTTCATAGCTGCAGATGTGCGTCGCTCTGATTGGCGCCGCCTTCAGGGTGACATGGCGTTGAGTGAAGGGGTTTCCTCTTCACTCAACGTTGAGTGGGGGGGGGGGGGGGGGGGGTTAGCGCACGAGAACAAAGGCCTGTTTCTCACAGGTGTAATCAGTAACTTTACTTTACACGTCCCTCTTTTTTTATTGTCGAGTCACTCCCCTGACCGGTTTCCAGTTCCAGCTTTTGTCAGCGAGGTGAAGGGAGGTGCTCGCTTGTGTGTCGCAGGTGGAGGGATTAGTGGAAGGTTGCCCTTTGCATTCTGGGAAAGATTCAGTTCTCACGTTTTGGCATGAAAAGCTCGGCGAGGCGTGAAGGAACAAAGGGGAGGTCTCCCTGCAAATACCGACTATCGCGTATGATCGGCACACATTGCATCGCTGCAAGCGATTTGAGGTGGAGGGAGAAGTCCGTTTTGGCTGAGGTCAGAGGTCGGAGGCCGGGGCGCAGCTCCCTGGGAGCTAGTCGGCCTCCGCTGGCCGTGGGCCATATGCGGGGGCCTCTTCCTTTTGCACCACGACTCCGTAGGACCGAGGGTTCTGCTGTAAGGTGTCAACTCACAATTATTAGTTCATCTGCTGCTTATTTCCTCAATCAATAAGACAATAACCTCTGGATGAACAAACCTCCGTTTCCCTTTAAACCAAAACAAAGTGTGGAAGTTGCTTTTTTTGTGTCCCAGCAGTCTGAAATCCCTGTTAGACACGGTTGACCTTTTTTAAAAGTTCATTCATTGTCAGACCGATGCAGTTAATCATCGTAATGCCCGATAGGTCCCTAAAGACGTGCTGATGTATTGACGAGTATTGACGTCCCGACTGAGGACAACCTCACCTTGGAGGAAACAAAAGGGATTCCGCGTCGGAGAAGTTCAGCCCTCATCCCTGCTTCGCGTGTCCACAACATTCCTCCGCTGTGATGTCACCAACCGCCTGAGAGCGTATTTATCGTCTGAGGTCGAGGTTCATCAAGTGTGGGATGGAGGCGGGGGGGAGCTGCAAAGTTTGCGTGTGTGAATAGAGGAGAGAGAGAGTGTGTGTGTGTGTGGGGGGAAGCGTCTTTGTGTGTCCTCAGACAGTATCTCATCTGCCAAGCTTCCGTTCCAGCCTGAACTTGTCTCACAGAGCGCTCAGTGTTGTGTTCGAGGGGAGGGGGGAGCAGGAGGGGGTGGGGGGGGTCCTCACCTTGCGCTGCAGCCGTCGGGACGTCTGGCGAGGTGTGAGGCGTGTCCGACGTCACCGTGCATCTGCACGCCGCTGTGGTCCGCGCACCCGTTTGGTCACCGTTTCGTGAAGCCCATAGAAACACACAAACTGCGCCCCCCCCCCGGTATTTTGATTAAAAACCACTCTTCTTTTGTCCTCCAGACGTGAACGGAGGTGCCTGCAGCTCGAGAGCCCCTCCCGTCGTGCCGCCATGGTGGAACCAGCCGACAGGCCGTCCACAGCCGGACACAGGCTGGGCGCCGCCGACAGCTTCGGGGTGTCCACCCTGGAGCCGGGCCTGCGTCCCCCCGCCCAGCCCGCGGGGCGGCAAGTCTCCATCCGGGTGCAGATGCTCGACGACACGCAGGAAGTCTTCCAGATATCGGTGAGTCGCTCTGTGATGATCGCAGAATTATTAACAGACGTGTCAACATGCTCCATTCAAACTTTTTCGCCTTCTCTTCCTGGAGGGACGCGTGGGAGTGTGAATATAAACCGACTTCCTGTCCACACACACCACACCTACAGACCTTGATCCTGCCTCGCGGTCAGGAAACGCTCTGTTTTCTTCTCCGCCTGGATCCCGATTTGATGCCCCGATTTGAGGGTCTTGAATCTCCTTGTGAGCAGTGTGTGTGCGTGTGCGCGCCTGCGTTTAAGTGAGTCCGAGGCGCGTGTTTGTCTTTGGCAGCCCCGGCTTCCTAGCGCTGTTTAGAGAAAACAGCGGCTGCTGCGAGAGGCTCGGGTGACATCGGTGCTTGTGGTATTTCATCAGAGAGGCGGCCGTTCGCCCGCCGCCGCGCTACCGGCCTCGAGTTTGGGGAGTTTCTCTGCGGCGGCAGTTAAGGAAGATTGAGTCACTGTCTCAGGAATCAGGAACATTTATTACCAAGATATGTCAATCAGACATACAAGGAATTTGACTTGGCGGTTGGTGCACCGCCTCAGCTGGCTCTCCACATCCAGTGCTGCAAGTTGTCGGGGGGGTAATTGGCTGGAAATGCCAAAAATGCATGTGGTTGCTAGCGTGTCAGCGCCTCAGGATGCGTCTGCGGATAGTTTGACGGAGGGCCTGGATCTGTGTTGTGTGTGTGTGTGTGTGTGTGTGTGTGTGTGTGTTAAGGTAACCTTAGAAATTTGACGTCGCGGTTCAGACTTAATGAATTTTAACCCTCTAACCTGCGCCTACCACAAAACCTAAACCCAACCCTCATACCAGGACCTGCTTTGATGTGACGATGACTATTATATGTCAGCAGGTCAGGTTATACGTCTCTTCCTAAACCCCCAGATGTGCAATGTTTGAGTACACATAGCATGAATAAAACATCCCGCCAGCATATTGGCACACATTGCATTAGTGACACACACACACACACACACGTACCCGTCTAGTGGCTTTATTATTGATGTGCTGTGGTAGAGGAGTGTGTGAGTACAGAACATCTTCGCTCGCTCTCACCTGGTGAATAATTGAAGGTGGAATGTGTGTGTGTGTGTGTGTGTGTGTGCTGCGTAAATAATGGACATGTATGTTACTCATTTGCTTTCTGTTGGTTTCTCCTGTTTTCAGTGAAACCGCTTTTCCTTTTTCTTTCCTGTGGTCTTGAATGCGTCCTGTTGCTTTCACTGTGCGTTGGGCACAAACGTGAACTACTGGTCCGTTGGAGGTTCATTCTAGTGTTTTAGTCGTAGTGTTTATTCCGACATTTTGCATTATTTACCCCGGCATGTAACACTTCCTCCAGTTTATCACCAGGTCAAAGCATTCGGGGCCTGAGGGGGTTTCCAAAGGAAACCATTTTGGTTTGTGTGGTGGAGAAAACAAATGTCGGCATCCGTGAATAAGAACAAGTGGAAATACTAATACCACTTTATGCTAATAAAGTTGAATTTATTTGAAATATATTTATTTCAGTGCAAGTAGCAGGGTCCCTATTCCCTCCCTGCAGGACCGTCCATCATCTCCACACATGACGACAGACTTTCTCAGAGGACGTCACAAGCTCCCAAACCCGACCGCGGGGAGCCGGAGAGGCTGCACGGGGCTTCGTGGTCGCGTGCGTTCGGGACGTGCATCTGCTCAGATGCACGGAGATCGCTGAGTGGGTTTGTGTTGCGTGATTGGATTGCTGCGTTATGCATGCGTGTGTGTGTGTGTGTGTGGAGAAAGACACGGGGCTCCGGGGGGGAGGGGGTTATGAGGGCCGGGATGACAGAATGGCTTTATAGACGACATCATTAGATGGACTAGGAGTCCCGAGAGGCGTCCGATAAATGAGCTACAAGTCCCCGGCCACATTATGCGCGCACACACACAAACACACACGCGGTGTGGAGCAGCTGACATTTCAAATGGATGGGCCTTTGTGTGGTCCTTTTGTGGGGAAACGCTGCATGCGGGGTGAGAAGTGAAGACGGCGAGGGACTCTCACCTTTTTTTAAGAACTCTTTTTAAAAAACTAAAGAAGCAGCAGTTTAAAAGATCAAATGGCTGGGATTCCATCATTTTCTTTCTTGTATTCATGTTGGTTTTCTCTTAATCAGACTGCATGAATCCCTTTCAAGGGCAGAGTCGATCCATTGTGTTGTCTAAATGCTTTAAGAGAGGGCTTAATGCACATTTATGGGTTGACTGCCTCTCATCCCTCTTACAGCCGCTATCGTTGTGCCTCCACAGCCGAGGCCGCGGTTATTTGGCCCCAATAAATGCACAGGAAATTAATTCCAATCCTGCGTGCAGATTTGTGAATTGGCTTACGTGAGAACCAGACAGTTTGAAAGCTTCTTTTTGGAGTCGTTTTTCTTTGTGGCTGGAATCTGCACATTGCATCCACAGGCGTGTGTCCTCTACGGCACTATTTGGCCCCCAAGCAGGATGAAATCAGCTGAATTCCAGTAATCAGAATAGATTTGAATTCCCCCTTCTAGTTACCCTGGAGAGAGAAAAGAGACTCTGACGGGTACCACGTGATGGGAGAGGAAACCTGATGGTTGTGTGTCTTTATGCTCCTGCTGCGGTGGTCTGGGGGTGTTTGTTAAGGAAAGTGAGATGTAGTGATTTCAGGGCGAGGCTCAAACGCTGGCTTTGTGATCTCTACGACACGTCGTCCGGCTCCTTTCCTTTTCATTTTCTCGTCGTTCATCCCGTCTCCCGATCATCCAACCTACTAAACTTAATATTGATGCTGTTTATGTGGGCCCACGAGGGCCTCATTAAACCGCGTTACATGGATGTGTGGGTTTATGGGCCTGAGTGAGTGCACGTGTTCCTGCTACGACCTGCCCTGCGAGTCTACTCACTCTTAATTCCAGTCCGATTAAAATAAATATTGGATTAGATTTGCTGATGTAATCTCCTCCCCTTCATGAATGCTTCATTCAGGAATGAACACGACTGAATAATGTATTGTGTTTTTAATCATTCAATGTGTGCTTCATCACCCCCTTCAGCAATGCAAGGCAAAGCAGGTCACGGGCCATTTTGAATGATGTCAATTTGTACATCATGAGCTCTTTGCCTTTTTCCGGCCGGTGGTTTCGTTTGTAGGTCCTCCGAACCTCCCTCAAGTTTACCAAGTTTGGGGCTTTCATTTTGAAACTTTATCTCCAGTTTCCTCTTTGGGACTCCCCGAGTCGTGCAGCATGCCGCGTGTGGTTCTTCGTGGGGCGGATATGCACTTCACTTTGTGAGGTGTGAGTTGAACGGTCGGCATGGGAACCGTCAGTGCTGTTGGAGCGGGTGCAACCCACTCATTTTGTTGTGTGAGAGGACTCTTTTTCTCTCTTTCCAATGACCCGTCTGTGCAGCAAATGGAGTGATTATCGTACCGTAGAGGCCGAAAGGTGACGATGATGCATTTGCCTCATTACGGTGTGTGTGTCTGTGTGTGTGTGTGTGCACGTGCTTGCGTGCACGTGGGGCCACGGGAAGCATCCAAACGCGCTGTGATCAAAGGCGGCGCTGCAGACGGAGCGGCCTCCGAGCCCCGAAGGAGCGGGACGGAGGCCGGGGGGGGTGTGCATGAGGGACGTGCAGTTCCGCTCACTGTGTTGGAGGGGGGGGCGGCGGTGTCCGCTCCGCTGGGCGGCGGAGGGGAACCTTTTCTTCTGTTTTTAATTGCAGTGAATGAGGTCCCCAGCGAGGAGGCCAACAGTAGCAGAGCAGGGCCCCTCTCAGGGAAATCGCCTCCCTTTTCACCGCCGACTGCATGTCGGACCGCGGCAGGTGAATTTGTGAGGGAAGGGATTTGTCGTTCCGTTCTTACAGCCGGGGTATTGATCGTTCCCTTGTCTTTGATTTGTAACATCTCCGCCGCTCGGCCATCAAAGCCATAGCCGGGCGCTGGTGTCATTCATCATCAGCGCCCGGCGCCCTGGATGTGTTGGACACGTCGCTTAGCTTCAGGCGGCGCTCCTGTGTTTCCTAATTGGATAATTCCCAGTGCATTAAGAGGCTCTCTGACAACCCGCAACCATAAGTTCATTTAATGGGGCGCTGAGGGCTGAATGGGATTGACCAGTTCTACACGTGTAGTTTTCTTGTGCTCCGCTTTAATTCTGCACCTGATGAAATATGTTGCAATAGTTTGTATCATGTTTCCACTTTTGGCTTAGGCAATAAAATAAAGTTGAACTGAGGAGTACGTCTCTGCATTTCATATTTATGGTTTGCGTTGTTGTCAAACTGCAGCTCTGATATAACATATAGAGAGGAATCAGACGGAACTGCAAGGCAAATTGGGGACTCTGTCTGTGTGTGTGTTGTGGCGTCCTGAGTTCCTTTTCAATAAGTGAAGTGTTTTAGCTCGTCTCATCTCGTCTGATGTTTCAGCAGCTCGGTGGATTCAATGCGCCCCCCCCTTCCCCCCCGCCGAGTCTCCGGCCGCTTGTTTCCCTGAGAAACTGGCCGAGGAATGTAGCCGGCAACGTGACGTTTGGAGCGTCCTGTCCCTTTTGGGAACGTCCAGTGCTGCGTCCCGCGATGAATCGCTGTCCCCGCTCTGCTGGCGTTGGCAGCGATTGTCCGTTACACTGAAGATATTTATCTGTGGATTCATTCAAGATCTACTCCTACTTTGTGAGTCATCCGGGTACTTCTATAACCACACACACACACACGCGTTGAATACAGGCCCTAGTTGTTTACTCAATTGTATATCCACACATCGTAAATCATCAGTTTCTGCAACACGTGCACAGAAACACCCGCTGAGCTGAAGCGTCTGTGACTTGGTTTTAATGGCTGGCCCTCTGCTGGGAGGTTAAACGGGGTGAGGGACCTAAAGCTCTCAGGACGACACATCCACAGCGCTTAGCGCTTCTATTTGTGACACCCTGACCCCCGGGTTCACTGTGGCACTGACGAAAACGGGTTCATTCCAC